CCAATAAAAAAATGCTAAAACTATTTATTAGAATATTAGAAATGATGGGTTAAAAATTCCTTATGAGTGAGAAAAACAGGTCGAACAATTTTATAAACCTTACTCTTCTGTAATTATCATTTTTTCCAAAAGTTCATTGCTTCAAATATTGGACACAGTTTTTTATTACTTACTACGTCTTAAACTTTTGACAGAGATCTTATGACTCATACAACCTTAATCGTGCATAACTTCGTTAATAATGAACAGATTTGTTTAATTCGCGAATTGAAATTTAAAGTTTCTACTTTAGTTCAGTTCCTGTGGCAATTTTAGCTAAACCGACTCAAAAATTAAATTAGGAGTCAACCCAAGCCAGGAGTCAAGCCAAGTTCTATTGTTGAAATTATACACCAATAAAAAATGTCATTCAACTTCAATCGTTGAGTCGATTCACTTCGTTCGCGGCTCAGATTAAAGCCTGAAGCCTCTATTTTAATTCAATTCCTCTGTCAATTATACCTGGAACAACTCCCAAAGTCCAGAAATGATTAAATTATCATGGGATCAGGTACGAAGCGGTTCTGTTGAGGCAGCGTTTCGAGGAGAATAGGAACATAGTGGACGCGCGAGTGGCCAAGCAGAAGCTGCTTGAAGGCCAGGAGGAACTGTTTAAGAAGCAGCACTGGGAGGTGTGGCAGTTCCCTAATTCCCCCGGTGGAATCTGCTACGAACGTTACAGCAAGCCAGATGACTTCGTCATGGACTACTGGGACCCTTGGGAAAAAGCCAGGTACCCTCAGTACTTCGCCAAGAGGGAAGAATTGAAAAAGGAATATGAAAAGTTGTATAATAAAATGTATCCGGCCGAGTCGAAAGACGCTCAGAAAGCTAACTGATTAAATCAATTCTGTACATAGTTTATTAAATTAATTGTACATCGTGTAGCGATCAATAAAATATTCGTCAATTTATCCAGATCGTAGTGCATTTGATGTAAGAAATCTGAGGCTTTTTCCCCGTCCTCGTAATTATAATCAAATTTGTTACTGGGAAATGATTCCATAAGGTGCACAGTTTGCGGATTCCTTTTCTCGGATTGTAATACACGTAAGAATTTTTTTAGACTTCTATATCGCGAACTAAAATAGGCAAAAACTCTCAAAGCGTTCCTATCAATTTCAACATGAACTCTCAAGTTGAATTCCGTTAATAATTTTATTTTGTCATTTCATCTGGATTAAAACTTCAAAGAGATACTACTATAGCAGTAGTGCACGTC